AAAGAGTCCCTTCCCAGTGAATCCTGATTGGGAGATTACTGCAGCTACTTAGACAAAAAGCATGAAATAGCTCTTAGTTATAAGACTCTGAGGGGATTTTGGTTCCACTTTTATGTTTTGTTCTCAAATTATTAAATCCTCCCTTATTTGTTGTTTCCTACTCTGAGCAGCAGACTATGGGTTCTGCTTGGGAGCTTCTGTGGACAAGGTCCACGATCATTGAGAACACCTGGAAACCTTCTGAGGGTGCCTGAGGATGAGGTAAGGGCAGCCAGGTTACGGGCCTGAGAAAGCTCCAGCATTTTCTAAGGAGCATGATGAACAGCCCTTGACCCAGGGTGTCTGTAACCTTATTTGCAACCGACCCCTTATTAGGGAGGGTCAAGCACCCATTAGCGGGTGCATGAGAGAGGCCTATACAAGAACCAGGCCAAGAGTACAGCCAACAGATGCAGCAGCTTGTGCAAGAGGGTGTAAAGAAGGTGGCCTCAGCTGAATTTTTTCCAGTGTAAAAAGTCTTGGGTATGGTGGTGACATGCCATAGGGTAATTTTTGTGGCAGGTGCTGGAGTAGCTGCTCCTGCCAGAGCAGAAGCTTGGATGCAGATGGAGCTCTGGGTGGTGGATGCAGTTCTCCAAGTCCCAAGCTGAAGGGTTTATCTTTGATGCCAAGAGATATGGCCTTCTTTCCTGTAGGTCTGCTGTCTTGGAGGAGCTATGCCACCAAACATAGGAGTTATGGAACGAAGTGAGCAGGTTACACAGCATCAGAGAAGATGGAAAGGAGATAGACAGGATCTTCTCTGAGATGCAACAGCTTGAAGAACCCTGGACCCCAACTGCAATAGAGCTGCAGGCAGTGTACACACCTAGTATTTAGGTAAGTGTAACCTCTGGAGAAGGCAAAGGACGAAAGCTGGTGACTGCTGACACCAAGAGTAAGGCTCCTGCCCCACCTAACAGCTTACAACTACAAAATAGATTTACTGCTCTCCATGTTGAAGAGAAGCCACATGTGCCTTCAAGGAAAGGATCTACATCACCTGACCCTAACCCATGCAAGACCACCAGGAAGAAGCAGTGAGTGATTATAATGGGCAACCCCTTGAAGCAAGGGGCAGAAACATTCACCTCTTGACCTGACCTATCAACTAGAGAGGTTTGCTGCCTGCTGGGGCCCAGAACCAGGATGTTGTGGAGGGACTGCCAAAGCTTGTCTGACCATCTGACTACTACTGCCTGCTGTTCTTTCACATGGTTACCAGTGATACTGTGAAGGGAAACCTGGAGAGTATCAAAAGTGACTACAGAGCTCTGGGAGCAGAAGTCATGGGCATGGGAGCCCAGGCGGTGTTCTCACCTCAATCTTGCTATTCAGAGGAAAGGGTGTGGGGAGAAGGACACTGATAATACAGGTCAGTAGCTGGCTGAAGAGCTGGTGTTGGTGACAGCATTCTATGGATATGGGACCATGTTTGCAGATCACTGTCTGCTTGTGAGAGATGGGATCAACCTCGCTAAGCAGGGCAAAATTACCTTTGCTGAAATGGCTGACCTGGTAAGAAAGCCTTTAAAATAGGAATGCTGGGGGAGGGAGGGAGAGTCACCAGCAGCCCTGTGAGAGCGTGATACACAAAGCTGATGAGCAAAGAGCCGGGAGTGACATGATGGGAAGGGATCACAAAATCAACAAAAAGGGGCTTAAGCGGTTTCACCTCCACCATTTTTATGTAAGCAAGAAAGTGTTTACAGGGCACCGTTATGGAGAAATCCCAAAAGCCCTTTCTGGGAAATCAGTATGGTGGGGTGCCTCTCTAAAGTGCCTGTATACTAATGTGCACAGTATGGGAAATAAACATAATGAGTTAGATCTGTGTGCAGTTGTAGGGCTACGATCTTGTTGAGATCACAGAAACATGGTGGGTGGCTCCCATGACTGGAGGTGTTGCAATAGTGGGATACAAGCTCTTAGGAAAGACAGGCTGGGAAGATGAGGAGTTGGAGTTGCCCTTTGTGTGAGAACAGCTGGAGTGCATGGAGCTCTGCCTGGGGATGGATGATAAGCCAACTGAGAGTTTATGAGTTAGGCTTAAAGAGAAGACAGGTAAGGGTGACTTTGTACTAGGTGTCTGCTGTAGGCTGCATGACCAGGAAGAACAAGTGGATGAGGCCCTCTACAGACAGCTAGGAGCGGCCTCATGTTCACAGGCCCTCATCCTTATGGAGAATCAACACCACTGATGTATCTGCTGGAGGGACAACACAGCAGGGTATAAGCAGTCCTGGAGGTTCCTGGAGTGCATTGACAAGAACTTCCTGACCCAAGTGACAGAGCAGCCAATGAGAGGTGCTCTGCTGGACCTCATATGCACCAACAAAGAGGGACTCAATGGGGATGTGAACGTCAAAGGCAGCCTCGGCTGCAGTGACCATGAGATGGTGGAGTTCAGGATTCTGAGAGGAGGGAGAAGGCAAAAAGCAAGATCACAGCCCTGAACTCCAGGAGAGCAGACTTTAGCTTCTTTGGGGATCTGCTTGGTGCTTGGATGAGGCCTACAGGGTAAGACCCAGAGGGAAGAGGGGCCCAAGAAAGCTGGTCAATATTCAAGTATCACCTCCTCTGAGGCTCAACAAAAGGGGCAGAGGACCCGGTGACATAGGACATGGAAAAGGCCAAAGAACTGAGTGCCTTCTTCAATTCCAGGCCCCACAGACCAGGGGGGACATTCTGGAGGAAGGAAGTCATACCCTTGGTGGAAGAGGATCAGGTCAAGGAATACTGAAACAAACCAGACATACATAAGTCCACGGGCCCTGATGGGATGGACTCACAAATGTTGAGGGAGCTGGGTGATATCATTGCCAGGCCACCCCATAATTTTTAAACAATCATGACAATTGGAAGAACTGCATGAGGACTAGAGAAAAACAGTGGTCACAGGATCTTCAAGAAGAGCGAGAAGGAGGACCCAGGGAACTGCAGGCTGGTCAGCCACCCCTTGATCCCTGGGGAGGTGATGGAGCAGCTAATCCAGGAAATGATATCCAGGCACATGAAGATGATCAGGAGTCATCATCGTGGATTCACCAAGGAAAAGTCATCCTTGATAAACTGATGAAATAACAGGTTTGGTAGATGAGGAGCAAGCAGTGGATATTTTCTAGGTAGACTTCAGTGAGGCCTTTGACACTGTCTCCCATAAGATCCTCACAGAAAGTGTTGAAGTATGGGCTGGAGGAGCAGACAGTGAGGTGAATTGAAAACTGGATGAATGGCTGGACCCAGAGGGTTGTGATTAGTGGTGTGAAGTCTAGTTGGAGGCCAGCAACTAGTGTATTCCAGGGACCAATCCTGGATCCAATCCTGCTCAACATCCTCATTAATGATCTGGAAGATGGGGCTGAGTGTACCCTCTGCAAGTTTGCTGATGATATAAAACTGGGAGGAGTGGCTGATATGCCAGAGGGTTGTGCTGCCCTCTGGCAGATGGACCTTGACAGGCTGGAGAAATGGGCTGACAGGAACTTTGTGAAGTTCAACAAGGGGAAATGCAAAGTCCTGCACCTGGGGAGGAACAACCCCATGTATCAGTACATGCTAAGGGCTTCCCAGCAGGAAGGATGCTTGGCAGAAAAGGACCTGGGGTCCTGGTGGACACCAGGTTGAACATGAGCCAGCAATGTGCCACTGCAACAACAAAGACTAATGCTATCCTGGGCTGCATTAGGAATAGCGCTGCCAGCAGGTTGAGGCAGGTGATCCTTCTCTCCTCAGCACTGGGGAGGTCACACCTGGAGTCCTGTGTCCAGTTCTGGGTTCCCCAGTACAAAAGAGACATGGACATACTGGAGAGCATTCAGGGATGGGCCACTAAGATGTTGAAGGGACTGGATCACCTCATGTATGAGGAAAGGCTGAGGGAGCTGGGACTGTTCAGCCTGGAGCAGAGAAGTCTCAGAGAGGTTCTCATCAATGTATATAAATATCTGAAGGAAGGGTGTAAAGAAGATGGGGCCAGACTCTCTTCAGTGGTGTCCAATGGCAGGGCTAGAGGCAGTGGGCACAAGCTGAAACACAGAAGGTTCCCTCTGAACATCAGGAAATACTTTTTTACTGCGTAGGTAACTGAGCACTGGTAAAGTTTGCCCAGAGAGCTTGTAGAGTTTCCATCCTTGGAGATATTAAAAAGCCATCTGGATGTGATCCTGGGCAATTGGCTGTAGGTGGCCCTGCTTGAACAGGGGTGTTGGACCAGATGATTTCTAGCAGTCCCTTCCAATCTCAACTGCTCTGTGATTCTATGGTTGTTTACATATCTTTGGGGGTAAAGAAGAACAAAGAACATTAAAGATTTGGGCATTCAGTAATAATAAGTGCTTTGGAACTTGCAAAGCATGCTTACAGCCTGAATCAACAAAACCACACTTGAATGTTCTATAATAAAAGTTAAATACTATCCTTGCCTCACCCTGAGTCTGCAGAGAAAGGTGGGACAGTGCAAACAGATCAGTGCACCAGCAGTCATGTGTGAATATAGGTGTGCAGAATCATGCCCAATAGGAAAGGTGAATACAAACAAGCTTATATGAACATATGGGGCTAAATGAAACCTGAAGACAGCAGTACACTATATTATAAAAACATAGCATACCTAAGCCAGTGAAAATAATTCCCCATGCCCTTTGACTGAATCCCTTGACCTGCAACTGCAAGATATCATACATTGTACTTGTCAAGTTATTAACATGTCATGGCAAGTAACCATATGATACAGTTTCTACACCACTGTTTTATTCTGTAGACTTTCCTTAGTGTTGCTTTAACTCTTCCCTTTTTTGTGTTCTGGATGTCTTCAATATTTCACCTGTATCGATGATGGAAACAGCCATGTGAGGAAGGTATTACTTTTGCAGTGTATTGCTAATAATTTCCTGGTCTCTCTCTTACCACCAAATTGAACCTGTGGATGGAGAAAGAACACACACTAGGAAATGACTTACCCTCCTTCTTCAGAGTATTTGTGACCAAAGGCAAGGATGTCAGATGCCCGGCCACTGCCATCACATATCACAACAGGAACAGGAGGAGTGTCTCGCAGGTACTCCAGAACAATGGAGATAACATTTGGACCTCCTTCCACAATGAGGGCCACCACTGGAACCCCTTGACCAATTCCTGGAGTAAAAGGAAGAAACAAACAAAAAAACCCAAACAAAAAAGAAAAGGAACAAAAAATTGCAAAGCCAGCAAAGGAAACAAAACGTAACAGAAGACAGAAAAAAAAAATCAGACTGAAATTACTGCATTGTGACTGTACAGTGTTATGTTAGAGAAAATGGCATTTGGAAAATAATAGATTTTAAGGACAGAAGGGACACATGTAGTCATCTTGTTGGTTCCACTGCATAAACCAGGATTTTCTAGAATTGTCTTCTGTTTTAAATACAATAATTATGGTTGAAACAGACCATGAATTTTTTAAAAGATAAAATCTTGGTTTGAAAGCATGGAGAAGCTACCACAATTCTTCCTAACATGTTCAGAGACATGACTTTGTAGCTTGCTTGTAATCTAGATTTTGCATAGTGTCAGTTTTCAGTCATTGGGTCTTCCAGTAGCTTTGCTTGCTGTTTTAATATCCCCCTTTTGATATTTTTGTTGCTGTATTAAATGCATTTTAAGGTTGCCTCTGGATAGCCCTTTAACCTTCTCTTTGATAAACCAAACATATTCTCTTACGAGTCAATGCAATACTTGTTTTCCAATTCTAGTCAGTCTCACAGTTTTTCCCTGAATTATCTCCAAATTTTGCAGCATATTCCTTGATTTGCAGACCTCACACTGGGGACATTTGTCCAGAGCAAGCTGAACTAGTACTGAACCAGAGGAGGGACATCTTCATTTTCAATACTTGTGGTATAAGTAGATGGGACCCCTCTGAAAAAGTTGTAGCACAGACTTTGCCAGTAAAGTCTTATGGATTTAGAGAAAGGCAACCTGACACCAGGCTGGTGTTAACATGACTGAAAAAGGTTTTATGGTTGTCACTTCTTGACCAGTTGAGACTGGGACATTCAAAAGGACTCAGGCAGTAGAACTAGTTGAATATTTTCTATTAGCATTATTTTGTCAAAAGAAAAAAAAAATTCCTTTTAAACTAGCTTTTCCTAAGAAAAACTATATGCATTCTGTACAAAATATTGATGTTTCACTGAAAAAATAAAAAGAGTGCCCCAAACTGTTAATATCTGGGTTGGGAAAAGTTGCATGAGGCCAGGCAACAACAAGTTTTGACATGACTGCCTCAGGTTTCTATTCAGAGGGTGTTTAGTCCACAGAACCAAAGGTAAGCCTATGAGACTGGAACAATAGATCTGGTTAGACCCTCTAGAAACATTCACAAATCAAATGAATTTTGATAGTCACAAAAATTTTTAAGGATTTGAATTACTGTCAAAAAATGAGTGAACTGTTCTTTAAAAAAGAAAAAACCCCAGCTTTTATATACAACAGCAAAATATTGTAAGCACCGCCTGAACCACTTCACAAGCAAACATTGTATTTCCTGGAGAGACTTTCAGCATGCTTTGTTATGGCTGTATCTACTGTCAGTTTGTGGCTCTTTTAATACATAACTTAAGTAAAGTGCATGGTATTTATTTATGTTAAGAAAACTATAAGCAGAGTTATAAAATTCAGGCTAATGAAAGAGAGTAAGAAGGGTAGAATATGACAAGGTGATGAACAAGATGATTTTCACAGAGCTCACTCATTAAATTTTTTATTAATATTAAGGACTTCCCTAAATTGCTGCTCTACCTAATCATTAAGTTCTTTTGGTGGTTAAGTTCTTTTTCAAAGGTCTTAGTGGAAAAGCAGTTTTGGGGAACAGAGTTAAATGAGAAAGGAAAATTAAGAACTTTGCTTAAGAAGAGTGCATTATAAGTCTGATGGGTAACCTGTCCCACATGCACTTCCATTAATTTTAAGGGATTTAAGCTAAAGATGAATTTTGTTTGGCAAATTTGCATTGTTTACCTACATTCATTTTAATCATGCTTAAAATTGCATCCCTTAAAAGTCCATTCTAGATATTAGCAATAAAATCCCATTTTTTTCTGAGAAACTTATAAATAATATGATTTTATTCCTATATCAATACATGTAATATGATACAACTGGTTGCAGTCGAGCATGCAGCAGAGAACCTCACGTCACAAGTCTGCCCAGGTTTTCCTTTGTGACTAGGTGACAAAAGAAATGTTGTTTATAGTTATGTCTAGTACAAGAGTATTTTTTTTTTTTGGTAATACAATTGCTATCAGAAGATGAATAAAAATGAAATTCTTGGTGCAGAATATTTTTCTTTCGGATACTTCCCAACATAATCACATGGTGGCTGAGACTCTTATCAGTTAAAATTTTAATGCAGAATTGGAAGGAGATATTTTATCACTTAGTTTCTATGATCTGGCTAACTTAATGTTATCAAGTTTTTTGAACTTTCTATCAGTACTTGCTTCTTGTTGTGTAGCTTTTCTTTATACTACACTGTATAGCCAATACTTCTCGCATTTTTAGTTCTGCTGTGGTAGTTGAATAAAGATTTCCCTTCACCATTTTTGTTTCAGTCCTCCTTGCTCAAAAGACTGATCACAGAGCGGATCTAACATGAACTCTGACTAGGAAGCCCACAGCTGGCTGAAATCTTATATCAGCATTCCTCTTTGGCAGTGTAGTATTCTCCCCAGGAAACTGACTGGTAGGGCCCATTTTATTTAATTACGGACAAAAAAACCCCCAGTGGTGTGTTTAAAAGCCTGATGGCTGATGGTGGTCTTTTGTAAAGTATTTGCTATAATGCCATATATGAAATTGTTAGCAAAGGTGAATATAAGTGCACAGATTTGAAAGTTTATAATTAAATAATGGGTAGAGTTGTATGCGGAACTATAGTACTAATGGAGTTCCTTGAAGAACTTACCCTGATCCTATCATTATTATTAATGACTGCAAAACAAGAAATAGAGCTGGTACTGACATCTGCTAATAAAATAATATTAAGAAGTGTTCTGAGTAATGAGTCAAATTGGGTCTGGATGACATTAAGGACTGAGTAACAGAAATGGAGAAAGTTCACACTGCAAGATGCAAAGTCATTTACTTGGTGATTAATAAATTCTGCTGTAAACTGGGAACTTATTAGGAGGAAATACTAGAAAAAAGGAAAGTGTGATCCAGCTGATCACAGGACAACTGAGTCTTTGGTGTAGAAAGGCTATGAAGAAGGCAGGTATGACCCTGGAATACACACAGCAATGCATTTTCAGTAGGAAATATGGGCACATCTGTGCCATTGTGTAAACCACTCATGAAATTCCATAGCTACTGTCTGCAGCTATGGTCACACATGTTCAAAAAGAACAAACTGGAACAAATGGAGGAAAAAGCCAAAAGGAGTATATGGGGAATCAAGACCCCATCTTATGAGACAAGATTTGATGAGTTTGTCTCATCTTCCTTAGCAAATGGAAGGGAGAAAGACAGTATGTCTGAATATCCCCATGACATACAGCACATTGGCCATCAGTAGTTTTAGATGGAGTTCAGAAGATTTCTGGCTATCAGAAGAGTGAAGTCTTCACAGCCTTCTAGTAAGACTAAAAGGGAAAAACTTTCTGAGTTTGGAGTGATGCTCAATAATCATTATAGATGCAGCCACTTTATGTATGTCAAACTGTTCCTAAAGCAGGTTCCTTCAGTCTACTGGAAGTTTTTTCAGTCTCGGTGTATTCTGCTGGATATTGATCAGCTATGTAATTCTAATAATACAAACAATGATGGTTAGTCTATACAGCTGATCTATTTTTGCCTTTTTGGGCCAATGAATTGGCCATTTGAAAGCATTTCTAAAATTCCTCTTGCATTATTTTCTTTTGCTTTTTTTTTTTTTTTAATTTTTTTTAAACTGCTATAGTCACACCAGTTGCATGGCATATAACAGTTCTCTGCAAGTGTTCCTGTTGTGTTTCACTGTTGTTAATCAGATGGCATTTCTTCTCTTCCCTGATCCTGTGGAAACACATCCAGCATGAAAACAATCCTCTAATTTGAGGCTAGTAAAACAAAACAACTTCTTTCCAAATCCACTCTTCAATGAAACTTTGTAGCCTTGAGTTTTTAAAAAAAAAAGCTCCTGTGAACCTTAATTTATCATATATGATTAAGTTCCAGACTGAAATGCAACTCTTCCCATTATTCTGGTAGATTTTCTTGTGAAGCAGAAAAGATTTAAAACACAAACTTGATTTCTACATCTCATTTTCCTTTCGGAAATCCTCCCTGAGTTTCAGCAATTAGAGTTTTTTTCTTTGTAATTTTCATTGTTCTCCATAAATAATTTTGGTTTGGAAAAATATATTGTTTCTTTAGTTTGGAGGGAAAATTGGAAAGTACACTTCTAGAATTAGATATAATATTTTAAAATCAGTTAATAATACTTTGTTGATACTTCTTCAGGATATAACCACTTCTGGCTTTAAAGACAGCTCTCTAGACTACCGTTATCTGAATCCTAATGTTATGAGCTTTTCCAGATTTGTGATTATTAATTTATGAGCAATGATGGTATCCACAGTGTGTGAAAGGAAGCCCATAGACATGGGAAAAAAAAGTCATGTCTGCTTGAGTATCTTAAAATTCGAAAAAGAAGGTAAGTGGGAATTATCACATTCTCAGTTTTCTATGATGCTCCCAATCACATTTAAATTATTTGTGACATTATATTTATTTCAGAATAAAAGCTTAGCTACTTATACCAAAGAAGTCTACATCTCAATAACTCTCAGGCAAAACACAGAGCAGATTTGAATTAAACTTTTACATGGTTTGATACAAAAAATCCTGGATGCATATTTGTCACTAAATATTAGTAATTTGGAAATGAATGCAGAGGGTCTGTAGAAAAATTTCAGCAGGTAGGAAGACATTGACTGACTATTCCTGATGAGATATTAACACTGCATTTGCTAACAATTTTCTATCTATAAAACTCTGAACTGACCATGCCTCATTTTACTGTAACACCGGACCAATTTGAAAAATATTGGCATGTGATGCCAATAAGACAGAACCTCTGACTTTGGGAAGAAGGTAGCTGATGGACTTCTCTTTAA